AAATGGTGCCAATGCAGCTGGCTGTGTTAACCCAATGGGAAGGTGCCTCGTGGTCCTTCCTGACCGTGCCTTGCCTTTGGGACAGCCATGGGACAGAGACTGAGCCCAGCTGTGCTGTGCAAGGGCCGAGTTTCTTCCTGGCAACACACACCACTGTGGTCCTGCAATGCCCCAGTCTGTGAAGCTGCACCCAGTGGGTGAGTTGTGCTTTCCATTGGTCCATGAAGATCACAGTAATGTGTTGAGGGCCCTCTCTGCTATCTTTTAGTAACTCATATCAACAGTTGTAATTTTTTAGTTTATGAAGTACTTGTTAGATCTCACTCAAAGAAGTTTTCTTTGCAAATCAGTTTCTTCCTGGTTGTGCATATGTTTGTCTATGTGGGAAGGAATGCATTCTACGTGAAGATTATTTAGGAAAAGAGCAAGCTGGAGGGTATAAGTGTGTGTATTGGGGTGTGACCACTGAAGAACTGTACAATAACAAGTACAGATCTTGTATGGGACCTTTGGAACCAGCGTGATCTTTTTGATATCCTCTGTTGGAAGGCACTGATTTGGAAAAGAGGACAGGTCTTACAACTGCAGTTAAGAAAACAGTTCTTGCAGCAGTGCTGAGGTTAAATTGTGTATGTCATACCTTGTGTGTGTGGTTAACTCTTGAAAAGGCAGTTTTCAACAGCAGTGAGAAAGCAGAAAGCTTATTGCTATAGCTGTTTTTTACTGCTGCTTCTCATTAAATTAATTACATCAATATGTGACAACTTATCTCCCTATGGGCTTGGAGATATGTCTGCAGTACCCAGTGACTGGTGTCTGCCAACTGCCAGCTGGGAAACAGAAGAAAAATAAACAGAACATGAAGCGAATATAAAGGATACTGGAACCAGTTATGTCATTACTGAAATAACAGACTGAAAACTGTACTTGTCTAAAGTCTGGCATTTGCTCTTTTCACTCTAAAGTGAGTGCAAAGAAAAGCCTTTCCAGTAAGTCAAAATCAGGAAAAAATATTACAATTAATATATCTGAAGCCACTAGAAATAAGTATTTCATTATTAGTAGGGCCTGATTCCAACACAGATCACCTCACAGGTGCCTCCTTTCCAAATCATGATCACATGATTCACCTTTTCTTCTTTGGTAGGTGACATTCTTCTGCAATAGTTGCAAGAGCTGCCTCTGCAAAAAGTACTGTTAGGTAAATGCACAGGCGATTTTCAAACTTGTAAAATGCAGTTTAGAGTCCAACTGCCCTTGAAAGTTGATAAGTTTGGGGCATTTTGTCTGTATTCTGCCTTTGAAAACCTCCCTCTTCAGTACTTGCTTTTTCTACCAGTGGCTACAAAATAAAAATCCAGGGTGACATAACCAGTAACTTAGCCACAGACCATGAGCAACAGTTCTTCAAATTGATTGTAACCACAGGCCACTGACTGGAAAGCTCTATTTTATCACTGGTGCTGTGGAAAAAATGGAATATAATTTAGAGCAGGTCAGAACAGAAGCAGTTTTTTTTACTATAGCTGTAGGAGAGAACACAATAGCAGGGAAACTGACTTTGTTCATGTGAACTCCATCCCTATAAAATATGTGCAAGGTTTATATACACGTAGAGATACTGTGCAAAAGACTGATAACAAGATGCGAGTTATACGGATCTGTTACATACACAACACCACGGAACTACTCAGGGTAGATCTGGAGTCTGTTTTCTTTAGTGCAGGGACTAATTTTTAATGTAATTTATGCAATGTTTTTTTCAGGAGAGAGGATGAGAGTTTGACCAAGAGGCCGACTCGGGTCTTAGCATTTCTACATCCAAGATGGAAAGCTGAAAACTGCATAGGAGTATTGGATTTTCTGACAGCTGATTGCTTGCTAGTGAAGGAGTTTTAGCTTTCTCTTCCCCAAGCCTGAGCCTTGTTGCTAACTAGAAAGGAGAGAATTTGACTTCTGGAGCATTTCTCAATAAATAATAATTCTCTAAACGGTGTGAGAGTGCCCTTGTTTTCACACATTCTTTACTGCTGTTTATCTTTATTTCTGCATTTCTGTGGAAAGATCATTTGAGAGTGATTAGTGAAAGCCAGGTGTAGTATCACTCCTTCCTACAGCAAGTGACCTAAAACTCAGATAAAGAGTCATGTCCCTCCTGCTCTCTCTCCAGCCAGGTGAATCATGAGTATGTATTCTTGCACACAGAACATTCTTGGGAGACTCGGCTGAACATGTCCTTGCCAGACTTCCAGACACGTTCCCAGAACCGCTACAGATTGATTCTTACTGATCTTTCCGTACAGTGGGAGATGAGCATTTGAATCATCCACGATTAGATACACAATTGGGTTTCCCATGAGTCAGGTCAGTCCTCCAACAGCCGTTGTTAAAGGGCAGTATCTTCCCTACTTCTGACTTTAAAAGAAAAAATCAGCAAGGCATTTTATGCCTGACCTCACTGAGTGGCAGAGCCTTGTGAGAGTGCCAGCTAACCTTTTGAGAAAAGATAGGGACAAAGGAATGCCAGTTTCTGGTTCCTGGTCAGACTTAGACATGAAGTAAGACTGAGCAGCTCACTGCTTTATAGCTCTTCTATAACTCAGTAGGTCCTTTCCTGTGTAGATCACCTAAAGGTGTAAGTCATTAATGTGCAGTAGCTGTTTTCTAGCCTCTGATCAGGAGTTCTCAGCTTGGAAGGGGTTCTCTTACGCACTGTGGTTGACACCACCGTTGATGCTGCCAGCATCTTGGTCTCTGTCAGTGGGTGAGCCGTAGTTTCATGGTCCTTTCTGTCTCCTAGAGATTCGGAGGAAAACTGTTCCAGATAAACCTCATTCCTGTAAATGCTTTTTGTTGCCCCAAGGTTGATCAGCAAATTTCAGTCTTCTGGGTTGACTGCCTGGTATTAAGATCACAGTATATCTGAAGTGCAAGTATGCTGTTGACTGGTTTTGCTTATAGCACACCAGCTTCTAAAACTGGGAGCAGTCTGGTTAACGTAACTGTTCAACTTTGACTTCCTAGGCTAAGTACCATTTACTGTTGGGCCAGCAGCATTTGTGTTTCCTGCCACTCTGACCTGACTTGAACTGGCACATCTGGGTCTCTAGTGAGAAGCTGCAAATGCCCTGCCAGCGAGTCCTCTCTGAAATTTCTTGTTTTCACTGTGTACTCTTTAAGCAACTTGTCAGCATAACCTGCTGTATGGACATGTGGGAAATGCATGCTGTGCTGTTACTGCAATCTCTGAGCAGAGAGCTCTGGGCCACTGAGGTCGGTTGCCTTCTGTGCTGCTCACAGCATGGAGCCAAGGCTACCAAGACTTCCTGAAAACTCCACACTTTAAACGTATGTTTAGGGCAGATCTGTGCAAAACAAGGCAGTGTTTCACAAGGATTCACCAACCTGTCCCATAGGAATGTGGTATCTTTTAGCTGCCTGCTCTACCTCCACAAGGAACAGCTTTTTGGAGTGTATCTGAGCACCAGGTGTTTTTTTATGTGAGTCTTTTGTAGAGGCACCTAGTTCCAAAATGAAGGGTCTGATTTAGAGACATGATTTCGTTGGATATCTTTTCTTCCCTCTGTTCAGTGTGGGTGGCTTCTTTACTCAATGTGGAGCATTTGGCCTTTAGTGGGATTGACAGGTTTTCTTAAATCCTAAAATCGACACTGAATACTATTTATAAGTGGTACAGGAAAGGGAAGTGATGGTCCTTTTGTGGGGCAAGAAATGGGAAAGAAATGAGATACACGTGCTGCAAAATAGATTCTCGATGATGCAGAATAGGTGTGTTACACTTGCTAGATATTACAGCACGTCTCTAACTGAGTCTGCCTTTAACATGAAAAACAGAAGTAAGGCATATTACCTTATTCAGAAAGAATAATTGTGGAAGCCCTTAAATTTCTGCTCTGCAAAGCCTTTCCGTCATCTTAGTGTATGAGAGTGGTTACAGCTTGCATATTTTTGCCTGTTATTTATGCTTCATGTGTATCACTTCAAGCATTTTTGGGCACAAGTTAGCTACTGTCTCGGGTCAGCTTTAGGCAAAGGGAAATGAGGCAGATATCTGGGATAGCAAAGTCCCACCTTGGAATAGGAGAAAAATAAGCTGAGACCCTGCAGTCATCGGAGCAGTGGCCATGGCGTCATGCCCAGCCTGGCGGCACAGGGCGGCTCCCTGAGACGTGATCCGCCACTCGTAGCTCAGGGCAGCGAGCCTACGTGATCCTGCCTGCCCCCATCAACAGATGGCCCTGGCCTTATGCCAGTATGTACAGCCGGGCTCTGCCCCTGCCCTCATCACACTCCCTGTGGTGTTCCTAGGACTTGAGGGCAAAGTCATCCATGTGCCAGGTATCTGCGGGAGAGACACCTAAAGCTAAGCTACCTTCTCATACCACCACCTGAAGGCGTCAGTACTAAGTCATCTATCTTGATGAGGCCAAGCACAAGATGTTGGCTATGGTGTGAGCAGAAACTGAGCGAGACTTCCTGTCAAGGTGCTGACACATGCGGAGAAGGTGGTATCTTAGAGGGGCAGCCTGATCCCTTCGGACACTAGTGTATTACTGGCTCCAAAGAGCAAAATTACTCTGGCTTGATATTCATGGAGTTGTACCCATTTTTACCAGTGCTGCCAAGAAACCACCTGCACCCCTTGTCCTATCATTGGGCACTACTGAAATGAGTCCGACTCCATCCTCCCTGCACCCACACTTTAGATATTTGTAGACATTGATAAGATCTCCTCTCAGCCTTCTCTTCTGCACCTTTAACTTGGGGAAGTAAACTGTCGGCTTCTTTTTTCCTGCAGATGCTGCTGTGAAATATGGACTGACCCTGTCTTTTCTCTCACACCTCTCACCTACATCCATGCAAAATGCAGACTGTGCTGTTATCCCTTCCGTATCACTCTCCACTGCAGCCTTTTCTTCACTGAGATCCTGCAAAAGCGAGAAACTTATGCCTTATTGTCTCTCTTCATCTTTCCTCAGGAAAGAAGAGCCCAGACCTTGGGGAATACGATCCCCTCACTCAGGCAGACAGTGATGAAAGTGAAGATGACCTGGTGCTCAACATCCAGAAGAATGGGGGGGTCAAGAATGGGAAGAGCCCCCCTGAGGAGGTGCAGGACCCTGACTCTGATGTGGAGGTTGGGATGACAAAGCAGCACACGGCAGAGAGCGCACCCGAGGGTTATCCTGCAGAGACGACTGGGAGTTTGGAGCAGAAGGCTGCTCCCTCCCTCATGCCATACCTGCGCACAGCGATCTTTTTGCTCACTGTGGTGATCTCGATGATTCTCGTGTTGGTGTGCGCATTTCTAATTCCCTGTCCCCCTAGAGACTTGCATAACACCTGGAACCGCAACCTAGGTCAGGGAGCAGGTGAGAAAGCCCCAGGAACAGCATCTGGCGTGGGGGAGGTGGCAGCTCCCAGGCTGGGCATCGACGGGAGAGACCTATCTGGGAGAGCCAGATCGGAGCAGAGGCCCTTCCTCACCACTGCAGATGCTCCGAGGTAACAGACAGGCGGCTGTGTCCTACTCGCTCTTCAGACTGAAGCCTGTGAAATCTGGCATCAGCAGATAACAGTGCCACAAAATCTTGTTTCTGTCAACAGCAAAAAACATTTTGACTCTTGTCCCATCCTGCTGTTTAGTCCGGATGGTGCCCTCTGTTCCAGCCATAGATGGGCCAGCCCACTTTAAAACAGCGCCTCCCTCTCTGCATCCTGGGTTTCACCAGCACCTCCACGCTGAAGTGTGTGGGCGTGTTTGGGAGGAGAGGGATAGAAGTCTCTGTGTCTTCTAACTGGCTTAACTAACCTTATTTCTTTTGTCTTCTTGTCCTGCTTGAATCCATAAATCAATATTGTAGATCTTTTGTCATCCTATATAGGCCACTGGTAACATTTCTAAAGTATCTCCCATTCTGACTTCTGCAATAAAGTAACAGTGGTTTGTGAAATACTTTCTACCAGGTCTCGGTATGTCTCTCCCTCCTTGCTTTTTACCCCTGGCTCCCAAATCTAAGCCTTTCATAAGATCTGTGGCTCTCACATCACCTCAGAAAGTGAACGGGGAAGCAGAACTCTTCTGTTACCTCCTCCATTTTCCCCCTTCCTTTCTCTGACCCAAGTGCTACATCTCTGCCTTTCCATGCAATGAAAGATATTGCCACAGTATGAGCTGCCTGGCACTGGTGGTTCCTTAGATTCTGTGACACTTGGCTGTCCACGAGTCTCTTTTCTGGGCCAACTCTCCCAGTGTGGAAAATGGTCTGAGTGATCTGTTTGACAGCAGTGATTCTCTGTGACTCTTCAGGCGGTGTGTTATCCCCACTGGAGCTGTGTGATGTGAACGGCGATGGGCTCCCTGACATCCTCATTGTCTTCACTGCCTTGATGAATGCTAGCGTCATGGGTAAGCATCCTTTCCATTCCTCTTTCTGTATGTGTCAATGTGGAACTTTGTATGTTTGTCTTAACACATAGGAAGAGTTCCTCCCACTGCAAATCCACTGCATTGCTTTTTCAGAGTTCCTTAGAATGTCTGGTGTATTGTGCCTGTGCTTGGTCATGCTGCTTGTGATTTTCATGCAAGCCTGTGCCTCTATACCTGTTGGGTCAATGTCATCTGTTTCCCCTTATCTTACCTCAGGGCAAGTCCATCTCTTTGTCCTGTATGTATGCACAGTTGGTTTTGGGGCAGAGATGAAGTGATCAGAAAGCACTGGTCTATAAATAGTAATTGAAAATAAAGTGGGATTTTTTACCCCCTTGTTAAGTCAGAGCTGTTCACAGAAGAGCTCAGTCTAACTACTTCCGTTTTACAGGCACAGAGGTGGAAGCACAGAGGGAAGCAGCTTGACAAAGGTCACAAATGAAATTCAGCGGTAGAGTCTCAACTCTCCTCATCTGTGGTCCAGTATCCTGGTCATTACCAAGGATATTTGGCGACAGGAACAGTAATGGCAGAGCTGACTGTTGGAGCACTCTGGTTCTTTTTAACTATCCAGTTGCTTGCCAACAGAGAGCATTGTGGATCTTTTTAGAGCAGCTGTAGGTCGGTGTTGCAGGAAACGCTCTCACTTTGCTGCCTTTTTCTCCAGGTCAGTCCATATACTTGCCAGGCTCCAAATAATTGTTAATTCACAAATAATAGACTGGGTGATGGTGAGGAAGCTACTGTGCCTGTCTGTTTAACAGGTATCATCTTGCTTCCTCTTTCTGGCTGCTTTTCATTTCTCTATTAAGCCTCACACCCCTCGGGTAACACAGGAGCAGCCTGCTGATACTGGCCACTGTTATACAAGGGCTGCCAAGTCTGGTGGCATCCTCTTGCACTGGTCTACTGAAGTCCTGGAGGTTCCCAGCTGCCTGCTGTATATTTCACACCAGGAAGTCAGCACAACTGAGGGGATTGTCCCCAGCATCTTGGTTTCTCTGTGCCCAGCTAACCACATTTCTTACTCTGAGCTCAGTTTCAACCTCCATGATTGTCAGTACAGTTGACTGATAGCCTAACTTGTCTGGACATCACTTCTAGGCTGTTCAGGCAGAGGGATTCAATTATGGAGTGGGATTTGACCTTTACTTTCAGGTGGTCTGGATGTTGCTGGTTTGAGCCACTTAACTGTAGGAGCTAGAGCTGGAACTCAAATGCAAAGACCAAAAGCAGCATGGACATAGTCTCTGATGCCAAAGGTTTTCACTCTCTTTCCTTCCTCTTCCAGGTGTCTCTAGACCCTCTGTAACTGCGGTGGCCCTTTCTGGTATGAATGGCAGCACCTTGTGGTCCATCCAGCTTCCAGAGGAGACTCGGAGTCTGCAGTGCAAAGGGCTGTCAGTGGGGCCCCCTGCACAGCCCGTCTGCCTTGTTACAGGAACATCAAAATTCCTCAGCCTTCTCAGTGCCTCCACAGGTAAATTCAGCTACCAGCATATTAGAAAGATGCTGCTGCATTTTTGTGTTCTTTAAAGGACTAATAAGCATGAATGAATGATTCAGTGCTGGCACTTCATGGTGGCTGTTCTTTAGTGACACATAGGAAGGAATTGAAACTGATCAGTTTCTGGTTACACAGGATAAGAGGATGTAAACCATTGCTGCTCTGTGGCAGCATTTTCATCCTACCATCTCAGAACATTTCAAAGTGCTAATCTGATGCTGTGTCATCCCCATAGCATAAAGGATGTATAAGGTCTGTTCTCATCAACAATGAGCTGTTAGTACAACTCACCACCTACCTAACAGCACTGAAAAGCTGAACGCCCTTCTTGGAGAAGTTATATAAGGACATGTGCTACAGCCAGGAAACCTTCCAGAGAAGTTAGGTCCATAGAAGAATTGATTAGATATGCTTAAATACTGGGGTTTTAATCACTTGATCATGTGCACCTCCATTCCCTGATTGCTGTTTGTTCTACTACATTAATTCACTGTAAGAAATATTCATGGGTAGGTATGAGGATGGTTTTGGAATCAGAACAGAGAATAGAGACATACAGGAAACCTGGGTGTAAGATCCAGTCAATGAGCAGTGGGAGTTACTTTTCAAATGCTTTTAGGGACCAGTTTACTTGCATAGTGTTTACATGGTCAGGTCCATAGGCTGTCTCCTTTACTCCTTAACAGCAGTAGTACTGTTAATAATGTGTGCAAATGTTTGCAGGTTTGGCATTCGATTTCCTTTGTCACACAGGGGAAAATCCTATACGACACAGCAGCAGAAAACCATTTTAAAACTTTGATTGAAAAAGCAGAACTGTTGGCAAAAGAATTATGGAAAAGCAAAAGCATTGAATTTCATTTTACATTTCCTGGGTGTTTATTTGGCAATTTGCAAAGCAGTTTTTACTGAGTTTCCAGCTGGGTCCATGCTGGACTGCTGAAC